AGCAAACTAATTTATTCATTTCGCTCGTCCACATCGAATAAAGCCAATCTCTCGTCGCACCTCCCATTTTCGAATTGTTAAATGTATCCGTGAAATGGAAATGAAATTGGAAATTTTTATAGCACTTTTAGAGACTTCTGTTATATACTTGTAGACCTTTTAATATCGTAACTGAAAAATACAGCGGTTTTAAGGATTCAATAAATGGGAGGTTTAAGAGAAAGACGAATTATATCATTCTTTTAGGTACACTAATGGACAAAATGATGAGGCAACTAGAGATCTTTGGATATAAATTTCGTGCAAATACGCGGAAAATGAACACACAACAAAATGAGGTAACAGTTCTGACGTAATACATATATAAAGAAAATAAATAAATCGTTCGATCCATTTGTTATTTATACAAAAAGGTCGGAATTTTGTGTGGACAAACTGATGAGGCGTTTGAAATATGAAATAACAAAAGCATTAAAGTGAAATAAAATTACGTAGTTTGTTTAAGTTTTAGTAATGTGTGGACTGTCCTTTACGCTGTACAACTTCAATCATTTTCACTTTTGATAAAAGCTTTCCCAAGCATCTAAAAATGCAGATTTCAATTCGGAAACTGTATTATATTTTCATGCAATGTTCGTTAGGTTAAGTAATGATAGAGCGAAGACGGAAATAAAATTTATTCAAGGTTATATGAACAATGCCGTCTACTTAAATTTAATCAAGGAACAGATAGAGACTTACGCTCGCAGAATTGCTGGGTCAAAAGATGACGCAGCTGTGCATACCGCTTGCATAGTAAAAAATTAATTTAGTACGGAAAATGTAAAGTTTTTAAATTGGCCAGCAAGGTCTCTTGACCTATCGAGAATGTATGGAGAAATCTCAGCCGAACATTATACGAAGCTATAATACAGTGTCCGAATTAAAATTTGCGGTTTTAGAATCTTGGGAAAGCTTGGATCAAAAGTACACAAAGATTACCGAGAAGAATGATTCACTAGTGAACTTGATGGAGTTCGTTACGGATTACAAAGTGTGTATAATACTACGATCGAGCATAGCTGCACAATTTTTAACAAAAAACATAACAAAAAATCTTTCCAAGCATTCGGATTTAAACCAAAGATAGGAGGTGAACTCTTTTAAATATCCCTTCAATTATTCAACTAAGAATAAATAAATGTCCGTATGCTCGTAGTAAAATATCAATAATAATAATAATATATCAAATATATGTAAAAAATAGATCAATTTAACACTAAACCTACCGCGTTCAAAGTGACCGCTTTCTTATTTTGCAATTCTGCAAGTTCCGAGACTCTTTCGTGGAAAACGCATGAATAAGTTACATTATCGGAGCAAGTTTTATAATAAAAACTTTACGAATTCCAAATAAATTCGGTCTTCTCACATTTGTGAAGCAGTGCATGCCAATTAGTATTACTGCTTGGTAGGTTTAGTGTTAAATGGATGGTCACATAAAGTTCTTTCTTTCAAAGATCTCTATTCGTAGGAAACATACGCCTGTGCACACCGTAAAACAGTTTCATTAATGAAAATGTAACGGGGGATGATTCGATCGGTTACGAGAACTAGAACGTCCTTCGTGTGCACCAAGAATCCGCCTATTCAGCGTCACGAAGTAGGAGGATCTTGACCGGATCGAATAGAATAGGAAGAAGACGAAGAGAATAAGTTTACCTTACGGTAGGCTCGCAACCGCAGGCCGTGATGTTGCCCCTGCTGCAAGCTGCGGTCACAGCGTACGTTACACCAGCTGAACTTATTGCGTACGTGAAAGCTGCTTCCCTGCTTCCTGAAATAGATCAGGGAGAAATTTCCTGTTAGTTCTAGCTTGGGAGCAGGTCTGTCCAGTTTGTGCGGTAGGTAGGTAGGAAACGTGTACAGGGATTTCGTACCAAGTGATACGTGGTTTACCTCCAAGGACAAACGCAGTCACCATTATCAACGGCTAGGAGATGTCGAGTCTCGTTGCACAATAACGTTAACGGTGCTGTGACACCGGGCCATTAGCGCCGCACAGTTTGTCCTTAATCGATCGTTCGAGGCTCTCGTGACCCGCCATTTCGTATGCAATAGTTGTAGTCACGGCTTAATCCTTCGCCGGCAACGCATTCTTTTATTAAATTATTAACGCGGTCGACGACCTGGGTCCCTTAAGCCGGGGCTCGAGGTTTCTCTTTTATTGTTTTAGAATGCTTCTCGGAGTTTCTCTATTAGCTCGGCGCGCATGAAATGTCGGATTTTTCAAGCGAATATATAAAACTAATTTGTTTCGAAGGGCAATAAATGAATGGATAATGACACGTACCTAGAGGCCCAGGATGGGATAATCCCCATCCGTCCTTGGCAATAGAAGCAATTATGCCTGATTGCTCAGGTACATGGGTCGCATAACGAGATATCTGCCTGGTTTCGCAAGTGAAAATTATTTTTCTCACTCGACGTGTCTAGTCTAGAATGTTCCCACTAACTTGTTTACGTTATTACAATCTGGAGAAATAGTTATAAGTAGACTGCGGAACTTTATGCAAAATCAAAATTTTGCAGGACGATTGCGAGAGATAGAAATTAAATAAAGATAAATTGTTTATTTATAATATCAGAATTTCTTTCTTTTCTCATTTGGGAAAAGTGTTTTGAAGCAAATGGAGTATATTTTGATTAAACAAACAGCTATTGAGAAAAGATATGCAGTTTTATATATTCTCACTTAAAAATCCGACATTTCGTACGCATCAGCCTGATATTTTGTGCTACCGTTTCAAGAAAAGGGTTACAATTCGGACGGTGTTCCATAATTTAGAAGCTCCAGGCTCAGAAAGGACCCCGAAGAATCGTACAAAGTGGATGTTGTTCGTTGTCCCTGTCTTGTCCGAGACCCCCCGTTTCGGTTCCAGCCGGCGGACGCCACGGAACGGAATTAATCCGCGCGTCGCAGGAACCGATCAACATCATTTCGCCGACAAGCATGATACATCAACGGCGCAAGCCCACACTGTCCCCCCGGCGTTTCCGTCACACTAATTTACAGCCATCCGACACACGTAGGGCCCGCGTAAAGCGCGAGCACAATTAATTACCGCGCGCGCAGCTCTTTCAGCTCGTTTGCCATGCTGAAATGAGTTACCGCGCGCGTTCCTTTCTTCCACGATGTGTGTACGCGCCGACTTTTTTCTTCTCCTTTCTCTTTTCCGTGCTCGTTCCCCGACACCTACGCGATACTGTCCCGTGTCCGAGCTGATTCGCGTTCCCTTGGCAGCCATCAACCTCGGCAGCCGGCTTTAATTCGAACGTCAGGATCGCCTCTCGCACCGACGCCTAATTATCGCCCGCAATAAAACCGGCGGGGCACCTCTCTCCCCCCCTCCGATTCCACCCGGGCCCCGAGGCGCGATTACACGGTTTGACAGCGCAATTTTCACGGTCGATCGGATCTTATCGCCGCGCCGCGATCCCGCCGGCGCGGCGGCGGCGGCGGCTTGAAAGATTGTCTCAATTTTTAATCCGCCACGGGTCACCGTTTTACGCGACCAATCGCTTTCGCTTCGATCTCGCTCGGACACACCGGTCGATGCGCAAACAACCATAGATGATTTATGGGTTGGCTCAATTTCGGACGAGCAGGCTGCGGATTTTATGCATACGCGACGAGCACGGGGCGGATCGATCACGGAACAGTAAGAACGTATAAAAAATGTAAAACCATTGTAGCATTATTTGGTAATGAAGTCGCTGTAATGTGGAACTGCCCTGTTGTAAGCGAATCCTTAAAAAATAATCGAAGATAGGGGTTGCCACGGAAGAGTGTTACCAATAGACAATCGAAGAGTCGAGAGATCGGACCGTCGAACGAACAACATTTCAAATTGAAAGATCTGAAATATATAATTGTATCGAGTTGTATTATAGTTTATATTCTTCATTGTAAATAAAATGCCGCGACGCGAGAGAAACGGACTGATTCTCGCAACAATATATTCGTTATATTATATACTTATTTTATTATAATGCTATGGTATTGTTATTAAAATTTTGTAGAAATCCGTAGTTCTGTATCTTGCGATTGATGCGGCTAATTTATGTTTCGCAGAAGAATTCGCAGTTCAACGTTGAGTGGTCAACATTTTTGTGAATAAAAATCGGTAGGAAAATCGCGTTTGTTGTTCAAGTTGCAGCTATCAATTTGTGAAATGCAAAGGGAAACAGCTGAAAGTGAAACTACGTGATCAAAGGATTTCTATTTTTTGGTTGCGAATAACAATCACAATAATCGTAAGTATTATCGTTATCAATAATCATTGCCGACGACGGAAATTCTACTTCGATCAGTTGCAATCATTTCGAGGGACGTTTCGGTCGCACGTAACTGTTACTTGCAACTGAAAACATTTAACTGAAAATATGAATTATTCGGTAATTTCTCTGTCATATCGAGATTGTAACAGTTATGGTCCTCGATCACTTATAGTCAAAAACCTGAACGAATAGCTGTGGACGACGTGTATACACGTCGCAAGAAAATGGCAATTTCTCATCTTACAACAAAAATACTTTTATGTTAAAATGCTCGCGAGACATATTTACAATTCTACAGGATGTCCCAAAAATGTCTCGCAATCCGGAAAAATGGTGGATTCCTTAGGTTATTTGAAGTCACTTTGTCCTTAGCGAAAGTGCAAACCGCGGCTTCGTTTACGAGTTATTCATGTAAAACGCCAACCAATAAGAAGCGAGCTCTGCTGACGCGAGGCGTTTGGGCCAATGAGCGCGCGAAGTCCAGCTCCGCTCATTGGCTCGGCCGCCTCGCGCCAGCTGAGCTGGGATTCGACCGCCTCGACCGCTGGCGCCGTTGGTTCGGCCGACTCACGCCAGCTGAGTTGGGATTCGGCCGCTCGACCGCTGGCGCCGTTGGCCACCTCGCGGCAGCTGATCTCGTCTCTCATTGGTCACTGACTTTAGTTGATAACTCGTAAACGAAGCAGCGGTTTGCATTTTCGCTAAGGAGAAAGTTACTTCAAATGAGCTCAGGAACCCTCCATTTCCGGATTGCGAGACATTTTTGAGACACACTGTAGAACAACTTGCCGGAGGGAACTGCACTCCGCGTGATCGATAAAAGAACGCACACAAAATTGATCTTAAAAAATAGATCGACGCGCAGCTAAGTGGTTGAGTATTCGTTTCGAGTAAACAAGATGTATCCGAGCAGCAATTCGATGCGAACCGACAGCTTTTCTTCGAGCTTGCATGTAAATGGAGCTGTTAACTTAATACTTCGACTTGAACGAAAAAGAATCGAACGAAATTGTTGATTCGATATGTACTTAGATTTAATCGAGCTCTCGTGGTTATTAGTGCCAGTATCGACGCGATTTTGTCCCGCGACTCACATCTTCGAAGCAACGATTTTTCCCCGAATACACATAAATGCAAAAAATCGCAGCGAGAAGCTGCGGCGATTTGAAGCTTCAATTAACGCCGATACAAAATTTCCTACGACGCGAGATACCATTTCGGGTAAATAAGACGTGTTCCTGGGACGAAGCATCGCAAGCTGCAGATTCTTTTTCGAACTCGCGTTGAAATCGAAACGCGCGAATAAGTCGAAACGAGAGCGACATTCCGCCAAACGTTTCTCCGATTGAATCTTCCACGTCGGACAAATTGCTATCGGAACGATGCAGATTTTGCAGATGCCTGGCGATTTATCTTGTCGAGAGGCGAACGGAGTCTCCGACGACGTAAATAAGCAGCCATGATCTCAGCGTCGATGATCATTTGCGCAAACAGGTCTCCGGGCTCCGTGCAACTTTGATTATCCCTTCGACGCGGAACGAATAATAATCGTGCTCGGGCTGACAGTTCTATGAATTTTTCTCGGTACTTAATATTTCAATGCGACACGGTTCTACCATTAAGAACACGCCAGAGATTGCAAATCGACTGTTGAGCAAAGATTCGCCGTTTAAATACGTCGCCGAGGCTATCGCAACGTTTCGAATCGCTTTCTTGCGACAGAGCAATAAAATCGTCGGCGAAAACGGACCCGTCGCGAGGCGGGAATCGTTGCGCCGCGAAATTTCGAAACGGAACGTCGTCGTCGTCCTCGTCGTTGACGGCGCCGGCGTTGCGGATTTTTCCGCATCTTCTTCCCGTTTTCTTTTCTTTTTGCTCCGCCGATTCGGTCTTCATCGACGAGGAGCACCGAGATCGAAAAGATCCGGTTAACTGTAATTACAGCGGATCTTCCTACACGCGGTCGCACGATAATACTACCTGAGAGCCGATGTTTGTTATGCCCACGGTTATAATTCATAGTCACCGACGTGCGGACGCCGCGCGCGAGCGCCTTCTCGTCGCGCATATTGTGAAAGTAAATATACATAGCTACGTGTACACGGCCACGAGCACTTTCACGAGTCATTCGGGGCCCATTTTTTCCATTAGCCGCATTTTTCTCGCCATACGCACATCATTTTTGTAACCTTGCTGCTTGCATGGCCGCGGATTTTCATGCAGAATCAAAATTGTCTAGATCGATTGCAAGAAACGTAAATCGCATGGAAATGTTTCTCCTATTTCGATGATTTCAATAAGGTGTTACAGACTATAAAAATACATATAATCGAATTCTTCTCGTGTTCTTCAGGATTTTGTGCGAGTGTTTATCGATCCAGTCATTTTTCGAAAAATTAATAATAAATAATGAATAAGATCCGCGGTCTATTTATTACGTGTTATCTCGAAGCTTGTTCGTTGCTTAAACCATCTAACCGCAATGATCTTTATTTC